AAAAGATTCCCCTTAATAATATATCTATTATAAAATTCGTCCTTCAAGGCAATCAATTTGCGCATAAACCTCAATGCACATAGCACGAGAAATTTATGCGTAGACTTCATTAAAATTAATATCCTCCTCAGTAAATCCTTGTTTAGTATACAGTTTTTTATGTGGTATGTATGATGCTCGACACAAAAAGATAATAATTCAATGATTAATCCAAGGAGCTGGACAGTCGAATAATCTTCTCTTTGGCAATCCCCACGGAAATAGTCTTCCAGTAAAGGAGCTGTACAGAGATAATCTACTTTCAATGAAATTGTAAATATGTTTAAAGATTAACAAAAAAAAAACCATAATATAATAATTGATATAATATGCAACAGATTATAATAACCACTTAAATTAAACTTAAGCCCCTACAATGGTTGGTTTATATAATCATTATCATTAGATTAATAAGAAATAGCCAATAGAATCAAAAGTATGTAGCTAAGTATTTCTGAATGGCCTAATGATAATGATTGTACAAACCCACCATAGTTTGTTTTACTATTTTTTCATGATGACAGCAAGTGACGCTTGGAATGGTTTCAACCGAAATACCGGTGAATTCATCCCTACCATTAATAAGCAAAGGCTAAAGCAAAGGTGTCGTTTGGGTGCTGTTTTTTTCTTAAATTTTCAAAAGTGAAGTTTGGATTTATTTTCATGCTCAAGGATCTCCATAAATCATATTTTGTCATGGTTAGAATATTTTCCCTCTCAGAGGCAGCAGGAATTTTCGAAAACCCTTTATAACATTGGAGAGGATATCCAAAAATGCAGATAAAATTATTAGTTCTATCCATCTAAAGGTTGGCCCAGGATGAATCCCAGTTAGCTATATTTTGAAAAGGAGACATTGGAAAACATCCTATGTATTATTTCATCTTTTGATTCTACGTAAAATAGGTAACTGTGTCTTAGGAAGAACAAAAATTTTTTTTTCAATTTTCGAAATATTTGCTATTTAATATTTCTTGGGTTGTATTGTAATTTTTGTTAGTTGACCATGACTTGTGGCGGCGAAAAAAACAACAGCCGAGCATTAAAGAAATGTCAAGTCATGGCCAAGTAACAGAAATTCTTAAAACTCTAAAAAACCAATAGTTCAAAAACTGACAATTTTTGATTATTATTATTATTATTAGCTCGAGCTAGGTAACTATTGCCATCACTGTTTTTTTGGGCATGTTAAAAGTTCATCAAATGTCGACGTTTTAGATCATTTTAGGCAACTTTTAAAGAATAAAGACACAAACACATTTGAAATTTTTGAAAAATATTGGAAAACTGAAAACATAAAATTTCGTTTTTATTTTCCCTAGGTTAAACGGTCAGAAATGGACGGTTCCCGTTAGCACCTTCTACATACCCTTTGATTCGGAAAACCTGAATCTGCTATCAAAATTTCCATGACACGCCAGATCTAGAAGCTACAGAATACCACTTTCTTTACTTCTTATGGACGCCATATTGGATTTTTACAGAATGAAATAGAGAACAAAAATAGTATATTAAGAGACAAGTGTATAATCAAGTCTAAAGCACGCGCAACGAGTTTAAGAGCACGTCGCGAAGCGGAGTGCCTTTAAACGTTGTAAGTGCTTTAAAGACCAATTATACATGTTTCTTATAGTATTTTTTATTATACTGCAATTTAATTTAAAAATAAGGGAAATACAATGAAATCATATTGACGTTATACTAGAATATAATGAAGTGGGCTGAGTTTGCTTATAAAAATCACCGTGGTTCCAAACACAGGGTGTTACGAAATTTGAGCCCATGGACAATATTATGAGACAACGCTGAAAAAAAACCCTATCCACTTTTGCATTTTCAAGAGATGAGGTGACAAAAAGAATAAGAAAGAAATGAAGAACTATTGTTATTATCTATTCATTTATGCTGAATACCATTATTTCATTCATTCATTCATTTTTGGTTGCTTGAAAAATCCTATATTGTAAGCCGTCTACAAGTATCCACTGGTGTTCGGTAAACTATAATATTAAGATGACCCCATAAAAAAATCGCATGTTGACAAATCTGGCAAGCGTTGTGGCGAGTTAACTGAATTGCACTTATCAAAGTAGGCGGCTAACAAATTTTGACAAACAACAATTACAAATGGTTCATTTCTTTTTAATTTTTTTTGCGACCTCATATTTGTCTGAAGTCTGAACGCAAGAGAACGCAAGAGTGTACTAGGGATTTCTACTTTGTTTTGTCTCAGAATTAAGCCCCTATTGTCTGTGGACTCGAATTTCGTAACACCCCGTATGTCGGATTATGAGCATTGTACTGTACTTTATTTCCTAGGGCCTGGGTCAATTATTCCTATGATGCTTAGATGTGTAGGCAATTGAATATAACTTTTCTCTGTAGTCTAGGTCTAAAGGTTTCAAATCAAATGTGATTTCTAACGAAGAAGCATTTAATATGCTGGCGATATATTTTGAGTATTTTCAAAATGCGAACATCGCTGCCCACATCTTCTATTTGCGTTATCCGAATCGATCACGAACCATCGCAGCCAGCATATTAAATGCTTCTTGGTTAGAAATCGGCATTTTAGAAAAGATTACAAATTCAAAAAACTGCACTTTCTGAATATAAACACAGCAGAATAATTAGGAATTAAGGCTGTTATTATTTTATAATGCATCCTGTTTCATTTGTTTAATCTTCCAAGGCCTACCTAAAAGTGTAGGGTCCTTTGCCAAACAATCTTTCGCGCCATCGACAAAAACCGAAAATACATCAAATAAGATGTTATTTCATAAAGAAAAAGTCATATCATTCCATTTGCTTTTTTTAGGATTTTGGGTCAGTGTCAAAACTAGCCCCCTGGCGGAGAAGGATTCAACTAAATGAACTATGGTTGATTCTCAATGCCCAAGGAATGCTCTTTTCAACAATACCAAATCTGGTAAAATCGGTCAAAAGGTTAAGAAGTTAAAGCAGTTTATTGCAAAAACAATTGAACGCCATCTTTGTTTTTGAAATAACTGAGTTTTTGTTTCTACGAAAATGTTAGATAAACTGGTTCTCTTTAAAAATGTGAAAAAAGAATGTTTAGTTTATTATGCGAAATTTAAAGAAAATGCAATTTTAAAATTAAAGATGGCAGTTATGGCCTCTGGTGGTAATTTTTAGAACTTGAAAATATTTTCCAGCGATTCTTGATAACCGATTTACCCAATAATTTTTTTTACCCCTAAGTTCCCGAGATATGGCCGCTGAACAGTCTTATTGGGTCACCCAGTACAAAACAAAATATAAAAAGTCAATGAATGGAAAGATAAAGAACAAAAGATTACGATTATTTAAGTTAGTAAGAACAACTGTAATTATCAGAACTTACCTATGAGGATATGGACACTATGTTTATAAAAGAAATTGAGAAAGTCTATCTTTTCCGATTTATTAATGGATGATAGCATGTTCTCAGGATCTAATAATATCCTCAAAACTCCCATTAATTGTACGGCTCCACCTAACTCTGGATCGGAATCGCAAATCATTTGCTCTATTATAACATTGAGTAAGATTTGATCCTAAAAGTGAATTGTACAGTACAAAAATTGCGTTTATATCAACACTCACCTCATCAGTGTTGTTAGCTTGCTGTAGAGTGTACTCCCTAACTACCGAAGGTGAATACTCGACAATGTACGTTAGAATGTCTATGGAAGCAGTCTTTGTTTTATGATCATCAGCTGCGAGAGTAACTTCTAATGCTTGTAAAATACCTAAATTTGTCAGGGTCTTATAAAACGTCTCTTTCGCTTGGGGCTGTAAATTTTGAGAATAATTACAAAATTCTTTTAAAAACAGCACTAAGTCCCTTCGCTTTGTTTCCGAAGTATTAACATTTGTCAACATCGAAAACAGTTCAGTTAAAAATTTTTCATCTTCTTGCACTAAAGACACAATTTCTACTTTATTAAAAAATATAAAACTACTCAGCGTCGAAAGCATGTTATCTTCAAAAAGAGAAGGGGTTGGTAAAACTACATCTTGAATGTACTGAACACGGAAAGTTTGATGGATTTTAGACAAAAGCTCCGGATTTTTAATGGGTATTGCTTCCTTAAACTTTGCCTGTTGCCGTAAGTAATCACGATGTCTCTTAGGCGTAGGTGAAGACGGATCGTACTCCAAACAGCCCACCACATCAAAAAGTGTGTCATCCGCGAACATAACCTCGAATAGCGCGTTTTTATTTAATAAAAAAATATTTTTGAATATGTCATATAAATGATGCAAACCCTCGGTATTCTCTAAATCCTCGCACATATGAAACAAATTTAGTAATTTACGAATATAGTTTTCACTTTCGATTGCCACGGCTAACTTTTCTTTCCTCATTGGAGAACTTAAACAGTTACTAAACAATTCACTTATATCTTCTAATCTACTTAGTTCGCAGCTTGGTAATTCAATCGGAGGAGCCGAATCGGACATGTCGTCGAACCGCTCATCCTCGGACTCTTCCACAATGTCCTGCGTAATCTCAACCGATGGGTCCTTGCCCTGCACCGTGCAAATCTTCTCCCATATTTCATCACAACCGGCTTTCTCTTGGAAACTTAACGCCAAGTCGAAATTATCTCCTTCCGACCACACGATTAACGTATCTTGCTGTTTTTGATATGCAGTGTCTGGTTGTATCTTAGACTCTAACAGTAACGATCCGTCGCTTTCTGCTCTAACTAGTAACGATATACCTTTCAAACGATCCACATATGCTGACGAAACATGGCCGGTGCCCCTATCATCCCATTGTCTTTCTGCATTTAAAGCGTATAGTTTGACTCTCCTCCTCGTATCTGTCATGGTGACTGATTATGAACTATTTATACAAAATAATGTAAATATCAGTTCCCGCATTCCGTCTTCTAGTCCAGTGCAAGCCTAAAAACACAACAAACAAGTGCAGTGATGTTCAAGTCGAACAGTTTCAAAAAACGTACGTAAATGACATAAAAAAAACGTGAAATCTTACCGCCGTAGTGTTTGGTGTTAATTATTGGCGATCACAACCTTTATATGTGAATATTTTGGCTAATTTAAAACGTAGTGTGGAATTATGTATTTGGTATTAAAAAACGTTTACTATGACTATCGTATCACATGTTATTTAAAAATCTATTATTTTTTATATGTTTAAGTGGTGCGTGATGTTTTATTTAATCAGAACTAATGTATTGACGCGCTCTCGCAAATGGACACAACACAATCGCCATCTTGAATATACAACAACGCTCAAAGGGGTCTACAAGGGCAAAAGCAAGGACAACGCGCATGTGGCGCTAAATTTGAAACTCGTATTTCATGAAAATTGGTCACGTATTCACCGTTCACAGTAATTTTAAACTGAACCACTCCAAAAAGATTTCAATTTATGACATGGTATCCACAGTGCAAACAAAAACAAATATCGTAGTGAAGTCATACCTACAGGATGCGGCCACATTTGTGACCAATACTTACGTCTACAATATAAATTATCTCAGACTTACGTCTTAGAGGCTAGATAGTATGTAGATAGACAAAAATGTCGAGGTGGAAAAAGAGCGTGCTAATTTCTCTGAATACAATTTTAAACTGTAGTAATGGTTTGCACAAGATAACATAACGAGGGTAAATTACAACGCGTTTATGTCTATAATCCGCTTTGAAGGAAATATTTCACTAAAACCAATAGAAAATAAACTAATCGTAAACCGATCTGGCACCCTGGACTGAAAATATTTAAATAATCTCTAACGATGTGCACCTCCTTCGTCACTAAATGTATCTACTACAATGCTCCATAGTTTCCAATTTACCCTAGCTTCCTTAAAGAAATAGGTTCCTACTCATTTAACGACATCATCGTTACCTAAAAGTACCTATTCAAACTCCCATTAATAATTTGAATTTGAAAATGCATGCAACATAGTTTTTCTAGATCTATCGAAAGGAAAGATTGTCATGATCGTTTCACTTCCGGTTTTATCGGGATTTTATAGGGCTCTGTTACTCTGTACCTATTACTTCGTTGACTTTAGTTTCAAAAATCTTCCAAAATCAACAATACTAGATTTGATATGCTACATGAGAAACATTTAAATTTTGGTCGCCCTTATACAGGGTGTTCTATAAGTAATGGTCAATTTGAATAACTTCAAACCTTTAAACATAGATTTTTTCAAATGAAACCTGCTTTATTTTTTTGCAATTTCAAATGTCGAAAAAAATTTTTCAGACTAAATCTTTTTATCGTTATATTCATGGGCGGACCTAGGCCTCATGGGGCCCTGGGCTTATATTTTCAGGGGGGCCTACTTATATGAATGTCTTCAGAAAAACCCAATGATCTATTTTTAAAACTAGGCCTATGAAAGTCATAGTGCCATTGACTTTCAACACGTCACCCGCTGGCTTGGGGTGAGTAGTGTAAAATATTGGAGGCGCACGGTGATTACAGGAAAATAGGAGCTTTGAGGTTTTGAGCTTTCAAGGATTTTTGCGAAAGAAGTCCTTATGTGATGGTTTTGTCCGTCCGTCTGTCCGCCTGTTCCTCGTCTAACCAAGGTGATGGCTCTGCTATACGGGCTCCTGGATGACACGGTCATCACCAGCTTAAAGAGCCTCCAGAGGCAAGAACCTGGTTCCAGATCGAGCCTATGGAGAACGTTCTTCCGCAGGGAGGAAAATAGGTCCTCCTTGCGTGTTGATATGGCATCCTATCGTACACTCCAGCGCCAAAATTTTTAGACGTACGCGGGGTCTCGCAAGTCACATTTGTAACTAAAGCAGTTGCCCAGGCTGCTCTATCGCCCTCAGATGTCGACGAGATTCTGGAGCAAACCTGTCCACTTTTCTGTCGCCGTGCTCGTGCACCAAACGTCGAACGCTCTGCATAAATGCACCGATTTGACTGTAGGTATTGTGGGTTAAAGGATTTCATTGGTATTTCACAAGTTAACCAATCGCGTTTCTTAAATCTGTCAGTTAGAATAAACTGAAGTTTAACGTTGTACAACCGGGCCTAATGGATTGGCAACCATTATCAACAAACAATCTCTTGATTCAGCGCCTAATTTTGAAGCATGCGAGCCCTAGGTGCCAGAGTATATCTGCCCACCTCCTCACGATTGCCATCATGTGAAAATGCCACTTTGGATAACATTTATTTCATGTTATGCACGTAACAGATTTAGATCTACATAAATAAGACATTTTTTCCGGGAAATATGAGGTGTTTGTTCGAGAACATTCTAGAACACCCGGGAAGGTTTGGAAGCGTTAGAGAACTTTCGAGAAAGAGGGGCGTTTGCTATATATGCAAATCGAATTGCGTCCAGTGATTTATAACAGGTGTGGCCGAAGTAAAATATTAGTGATAAATAGTTCGTGTTATAAATTTTATTGTGGATGATAAATAATAAATACCGTCACGCTGGCTTTCATTAGTTATCGCCGGTGATAAAGTCGATAATTATATTCGGGTTTCTTATAAACTCCAACATGCTTTTTGGGTTTTTTTGCTACACTCAAATTTGGAAAACAAAAATTAAAGACAAGCATATCGCATATTGTAAAAATCAGACGTGCACATGCGCAAACAGCGCAATGTCACAACTTTCTTATTTATGGAGATATTTCTTTGAAATGTTAACCACAGTTCTTGTAGTAATGGGAAATCGCATATTTTAAACATCAGGTGTGTGCATGCGCGGAGTGCGCAACGTTAAGTTTCTTATTTTTTATAAGAATATTTATATACTATAACGTATTTTCCTTTGCACACAGTTAATTTTTTTAATTTTACTTACTAGCTGATTTAAGGCTGTTTCACATCAGCACATGCTGGTGTGCGTGTGAGTGAAAATGGTGGGAAATGAAAGGTTCTCTCAACGAACTGTTAACTTGTTGATCAAGTGGTTTCAACCAAAACAATGAGAGATTGATTGGCATGTACAAGCATCGGAATACCTGTAATTCTTACTTGATGTTCCGACCAATATCTCCTCCAAAATATTCTATCTCTTGTTGTACTAAGTTTACGCTTGTAGTAGTTTAGTCTGCCCAATTCTCTATGGTTTTTGATCTTGTTGAAAATTATTCTCTTCCAGCTGGCAAGGAGCAAGAATTACATTCTATGGACCGGATCGGACAATGATGATGCGTTAGAAGTTATCTAATCTCCTTTGATTATCCGACTTACATTCACAGTTATAACTGTGAAACCAATTCACTCGATTATGCGAGGTTAAGCAAAAGTATTGAAACTTATTTATATCTGTTTAGATATTTATCTAATTAAAAAAGTGTAAACAAAAATTGTTTCGTTGATTTAATGCCATATTTTTTATCTCCAACATTTTTTATATAATATAATTTGGTTCCCATTGTAACCAACATGAATTTTTTAATTGTATGTTCTTTAACTGTATATTCAGGGATTTTCCACATTTAGCCATGTTATTTGGTCCCTATACCAAATTATCCTGAATAAAAAAAATAAGTTTTAATAAAGACGTTATGTAGCATAGTTTTATGTAATGTAACACACAAACGAGTTTCATTTTTTGTCGAATCGCCTAATTTTTACTACACGCCGCTTTTTCAAAATTCATTTATTTTTGTTATTCGATCCAATACAAAAATAAGGGGATGTGGATGGAAAACATCGTGAATTAAAAAATGAAAGAAAAACAGTGTCAAATGAATATTCAACTCGGTTGCAATGAATTAGATAACAATTTTAGAGCTAAAAAAATGGCATTAAATTTAAAAAAACAGCTTTTGGTCATACAAAATCTAATAATAAGGAAGTTTCCATTTTTGGACATGTGTATTCCATGGCCATTGATTATACACAATATACACATTTATAGCGTTTTCGATTGGCAAAACTCGTACTGCACGAGTGTTGCACGAGAAACTGAAGAAATCCATGCGAAAATTGCTCTCAATGGAACATAAATATACGTAAATATTTGTTGTCATTTGTCCATAACCTCATTTTAGATTTAGGTAATCGACAAATCTCTATTCTAAAAAATGACAAACGATTTCAGTATTATTTATGATAAACGATGAGGAATATAAATTTGAAATTCCTGTAAAGGACCAATTTTTGGCGTTCAGTTTAATGAGTAAGTGCAACTTTTTGTAAAATAGAAGTTATGGCTAGTTCATCATCTTCGCTATTGCTAGATGACGACAAAAACTCTCCCAACGCAAGAAACAAATTCAAATTGTCGCACGTTTGTTTTGAAAATTTGAAACTAGCAGCTCCACGAGCTCTCGGATCTCGTGCGTCGAAATTTGCACTGAGTGCGTAATTGTTGCATCACATTTGCCAATGGAACACAGAAAATTGCCCTAAAATTACCAATAGAACGTAAAAATTGCACTCGTGCAGCACGAGTTTTGCCAATCGAAAACGCTATTTCAATGCTATGGCACAGACTATCAGCCGAATTGAATGCAACCAACGCCTAACTGTCACTACTAGCCGTTGATGGTCTGTGACTACTACTCTGTGGTCACATCACGCTTAAAAAGTTAACCTCCAAATCAACTATGTATTTTATATGTTTATAATATGCCTATTAGTCCAAAATGCACTTACGTTTCTCGTAGTAAAAATATTCAAGGAAGAGAAATTATCCTTCACATTACACAGCATGATAAAATTACTGAAATAACCGTCAAATATGCTTCGACGAATTTCATACACAGACAATTAGTAACTTTAAGTGCATCTGCCCTATTTATTCACATTTTAATGGTTTTCCAATTTATCAATCTTACAGTTTTTATAAATATATTATGTCTTTTAATATTTTACGGTTACATCTTACTAACATCGGTTCATTTTGGTAGGTAAGTGTATTATTTAAATGTTGACATAACACGACCTCAATTTTTTAGAGAAAGTTATAATAGTGGAGAACTTAGGGTATCAATTTGAAGAACATTATAATTATGGAAGAAGTGTACGGTTTGTTTCTTGGGATAACGTAAAATCAGTTTTCATAAATGAAGTATTATCAAAGGTAAGATTACAATGCTAAACGTCTTCTTCATTCTTTCTAAATTTTAGCAAAGAGTTCTTTATATATTAGCCGTTCTAGTCAGTGATGATACCAAAACTGTAAATAATATTATTCCATTATTTAAGGTAAGTGTGAATAAATATCGATGTGCAAGTCCGAATTTTTCATTGCAGAAAATCATGCCGAGGCTACAATGTTTAGAATTCATATATCGTCATATAGAACATCTCCATAACTGAATTTGTAAACAGTTGTAAATAAACAGCATCGCATTATTATTAACCCTTATTTATTCTTACAACTGATCCATGATTTGAGCAGTAGAACAATTTTTATTTTGATTGTGAATTTTGAGTACAAAAATTTGTTCCTTGATCGAATTTTTTAAATTAGCAACCTGCAACAAAACCTGGTCACATTTTTTAACATCCAAAATCACAAATAGCTACCGTTTTATCATTGAATGCAGTGTAACCATCTATTGGGGGAGTATGTAGTGATGGCATGGGAACTTTTTCGGATGGACTCGACTGGCATATGTTGTCCATTTCCTAAATTGACAATATTAGATCTCTAAAGAAAAACAGTCTACTCACCATCTTTTTGATTTTTTGCTTAATGTACTTCGAAAACAGGTCTTTCAAACCTTCACTGTATTTCCGACGTACCTCCATTGCAATTATTTGGATATCGACCGAATTGTCATTCGTTTCATCTAAAAATATTCCTAGAAAGAGTAAGTTTTTACTTTTTTAGATATCCTACATACCCATCACAAAATGTCTTTCTCAAGTTTTGGTTTTAAATATTAAAACTTAAAAGTAGTGAGATGTGCAATTCCAAACGAACTTTTTGACCAGTTTTTAGTAACATTTTAAATTCCCTAGCTGAATCATTTTTGAAAATTGTCTACACTCAGGACTTTTACTGGGTTTCTTTAACTATTGTGCCTATCCATCCTTTTTTTAAATAAATTCCTTCATGTTTTTTCTTTGCTTCTGTACATAGTGTATTGACTAAACTACTAAAGTTAATTACAGAATGGAACGTAAATTGCCGGATGCAGAACCACAGAATTCTCTCCACTGTGCCATTATTGATTTCCTTTACGTGTTGATTACTTTTTTTCTGTTTCACTGTATGAAGAAAAAGTTAGGGGTGATTTCCTGCACTTACCTTACATCATCTGTGAAAAACTCCGAAAAAACTAACCGAAAGAAGTATAGGTATAGGTTGCGTTCAATAATTGTATTAATTTAATGAATTAAGCCGGATTTACACCCGGTTCTTTAAAATTCAAAAACTAACGATCAAATTCTCTCAGTTCAATGAAGTTACGTTCAATCAAACAGCGTAATATTTAACCCGGTACAAATTCAGGGTGTCCCACGACGAATGCTGGCTATAGACATCTCGAAAAGGAACTTGGGAATATTTCAAAAATAGTCTGAGAGTATATTAATGTCGACACGAAGAGTTTATCTAAAATATTTTCAAGTTAATAGAATTTTCAGTTTTACCGAAAGTTGATGCGAACTTGCTTATTTTGAATAGAGCAGCATATATCATTCTTTTTTAACTTCAAATACTTCTCCAGGATTAAACGTAGATAATGCGATACGCCTACTTTATTGTAGATGTAGGCAATAATAATTTGAGAACATTTTAAGATATGAAGTTTTTTGTTTATACAGGGTGTTCATTTGAAAACTTCCCACCACGGATTTGTTGAAAATCACCGATTAAAGAAAAAACGCCTAGACACGACAAAACGTTTTACCCAAAAAGTACTTCACCCGCTTTTATCCTCTGGCCCTCAGGGTCATTCGCTTAAAAAATTTTAAATGGCACGTGGTATCGAGTAATAGCTTGTTTGAAACGTCTTCCGAAGTCCATATTTTGGTGTTTGATTTTTTTAAATCGGTCGATTCGTTTTCGAGAAAATTAGAAAACTCTTTATTTAATTTATTTAATCAACCTATCTTAATTTGTTCAGATAGAAAACAAAAACAAACGAAAATATCACTTATTTCTTGATATGGGAAAGAAAGAATTTAATTTGTTATCAGTTACCTTTGTGACAATCTTGGGATAGTGAAAATTTATTTATTGATTCAGACGGATTAAAAAAAATCAAACGTCAAAATAAATGACTTCGAAAGACCTTTGAAACAAGTTATTACTCGATACAACTTGTCATTTAAAACTTTTTAGGGAATAACCCTGAGGGACTAAGGGTGAAAGGGGATGAAGTAGTTTTTGGTTAAAAAGTTGTCCCCCTTGACAAATCTTTTGACGTGTCTCAGCGTTTTTTTTTCCTTTAAACAGTGTTTTTCGATAAATCCGTGGTGGGAAGTTTTCAAATGTATAAAGAATCTAGTTAGTACGTATGGAAAAATTAACGAATCTGTAGAAAATCCGAAGAATGCAACAAATCTAAAAATGTTGTTAAAGCCACAGTATATGAACAGTCTGTAGAACATCATTGGAAGAAACTGATGAATCCAAATAGCCTTAAGAGTCTGATGAATCTGTTTGATTCAAAGAAATTGAGAATTCGAAACAACTCCAGATTTCCAGAACCTACAGAATCTTTCGATCTAAAGTTAAAGAATATGGAAAGTTCGAAACAATGGAAGAATCCAAGTAATGTTGAAGAATGTAATGGGATCTGGAAGATTTGAAAAATCTTTAAATTGAATTAGGTCGTAGGGTCTCAAAAAATCAGAAGACTAGAACAAACGGAAAAATCCAACGATTTTTAAGATTAAATGAGACCGAAAAATTTAACGGATCTGATAAACTAGGGATTTCAAACAAGAAATGAATTCAAAGAATCTGGTGGATCTGAAAAATTTGAAGGATCTGAAGAAACGAATAATTGGAAGATAATGGCAAATAAAACCGAAAATAATGACGGATTTCTTCGTCAGTTAACTCATCGAGATTAAATCTTAGATTGCGTTCTGCCCTTATTGCATCCATGTTTATGTATATTTACTACTAATAATTCATCCAATCTCTCAAAATCATCTCATAATGCTATAATTATCAATCATTCTTTCAGTGAAACGGTATGGTACATTTAAAGAAATTTAAATAATGGAGTTATATCCAACTACTTTCAAGGTTGTTTATCTTACTTTATCATTAACCGTTGTAGAGAGTTTGCGACGACAATAACTTCCCTTTAACACGTCAAACAAGTTACCGTATTTGATGACGTCAATTTAGAGTTAGCGTAAGAGTGCGCAACTCTCTAATGTAACAGCATCGCCGTGCCAAAAACTTCCATAAGGTTTGCATTGGCCTATGTTCCCTGTATTGTAAAGTCAATGTGAGACGGACTTTGAATGGCAATCAAAGGTCAAACACGTGCGTGGATACGCGGCTTTAGAGTTACTGTTGGTCTACTATGAGACGGTACGGTAGTCACGGCCACAGCACTCCCGCCGCGGTCGCATGAAAGGTCAGTTGGGATTTATGTTGAGTGTTTGTTTATTTGTACAAAAAGCGTGGTTTGTGCCCTCAAGATACAAATTTGAAAATATGACGTGTGAAATTACAAGCATTGACTGCATAGAGGATTCTGATGTAAAACCCGTTATAGGTACTTTACTTATAATTTTTCTCCCAAAAATTTCTTATCTGTTTCATAGTGAACTTTGAAAATGGAGCACTTAATCCAGGTCAAGAAGATAATTTACTGTGCAGATACTATAAAACCAAAGAGAATCAATTAAAAATAGGTGCAGCAACTAGCAATATGTTGTACAGCGGCAATGTGGAATCCAACCACTTGTATAACACATTTATTGGTATATGCAATAAGAAGAAGACTAAGGTGAGCGGTCACTTCTTTGACTGTTACTAGTCTGAATAAATGTCCATTTAGATACGTTTAATTGCCGCCGATTTTGCCACATTATCACCAAGGTTCGATGAAAGTCGTGAATTGAACAAATCGATTGAGAGATTGCAGAGTACTCATTCACAAATAAACAAAAGTTTTGGATCGAAGCGTGCAAAAAAAAAGACTGAACAACAAGAACGAATGAAAGTAGATATTGAAGCGATAAAGGACCAGTTAGAAAAGACAGTTGCAGGTATTTTGTGGTACCATTCGGTAAATTCAGCATCATTACTAACAGTTCTCAATCATAAAGATTCTTAACACAATAATCACGTATTAGTTTTCTGTTATGTCCCGTATGACTAGAAGGATTTTTTAAAGTGCTCTGCTTAATTTCTCAGGATATACTATATAGTTATCATTATCAGTCACAGCCGAGGTGACAGCATAGTCAATTTTTATTACTTGTGGTTTAACCGGAAATTGCACCTACTTTATTTTTAATAAAGCATCCTGTTAATTTGTGTCACCTGCACTTTGTAAGAGACATATTACCATTGAATTTATAACTATCAGAAGCGCAGGTTAAATGGCAGGATATGTGACTGTTTTCAATAGTTTAAATTACAAGACGTAGATGTCTCTACCATCGAGAAAGATGAATAATAATGTCAGTTTTTTACCTTTGTTAATTATTAAGGATCCTCAGATCCTTTATAGTTTTGTATTGTCGTCCGTCCGTCCGTCCGTCCGTGTGCGCTCTAACTCTTTTTAAAAGTGGCCGATTGTGTTGAAATTTGGTATACGGGTACGTTGGACATTAAGAACGGACGCTATTGATTTTCAGGAAGCTGGTTCAACAGGAACAAAAGTTATACGACTTCGAGTGAATCGGGAACAGGAAAAACTGCGAACTCAATATAATAAAAATTAACATATTTCATTCCCTAGGTCATGTATCGAGTTCGGACTTTCGCTAGATTATTCCCTATGACTCTTAGATGTGTAACAATTCAATATAACTCTTCTCTGTGGTCTCGGTCAAAAGTTTTAGAGCAAAATGTACCCAAAATTATTCTTTACACATGAATTTAGAGTTGTAAAAGCTTTCAAACGCATTATCTTGATGCTGAAAGAGTTGATAACGTGCACGTTTGATAACCGCATGTGTGTGATTCAAAAATGTTAAATTATTTTTCTGAGGCCACATGGATTTTGATCAAAATATGTCAAAATCGTTAATTATGCACCAAGATCGTTGGGAAAAAGACTACGCGCATTATCTCAATGCCCAAGACATGAATTTGATGCATTTTTGGCGACCACGTGGATTTTGATCAAAACATGTCAAAATCGTTATTTATGCACCAAGATCGTTGGGAAAAGACTAGGCGCATTATCTCAATGCCCAAGACATGAATTTGATGCATTTTTGGCGACCACGTGGATTTTGATCAAAACATGTCAAAATCGTTATTTATGCACCAAGAGCGTTGGGAAAAAGACTAAGCGCATTATCTCAATGCCCAAGACATGAATTTGATGAATTTTTGGCGAAAACGTGGATTTTGATCAAAACATGTCAAAATCGTTATTTATGCACCAAGATCGTTGGGAAAAAGATCAAGAGCATTATCTCAATGATCTAAACATGAATTTGATCTATTTTTATGGACCACATGGATTTTGATCAAAACATGTCAAAATCGTTATTTATGCACCAAGATCGTTGGGAAAAAAACCAAGAGCATTATCTCAAAGCCCAAGACATGAATTTGATGCATTTTTGTTAACTATAAAATGTATTTTGTAAGATTAAAATAAATTGTCGTTAAAAGTGATTGTAATACTGAGGATCCTTCGATATTTCGTTGTATCGGTTTATTACAGGAATCTGTAATGAACCCACTATCTCGATTTGTAATTGTTGTATACAGAATTCTAGATACCCAAGAAACGTACTTATAAGGCATTTATGTGGCACACAGGATGTTGAATGACGTAAGATAAACATTCTTCCTTTCATGAATCGTGACCTACTTAACATTCCTTAAGGAAGATTGAATTACATTTGAACAGGAAAGCAAAAAATACGCAGGCATCCTTGATCACTGTAACAGAAATTAAATGTACCTACCTATCGCTATCTATTCTTAATTTTTGTGTGTGTCGGTTAAACCGTTGCCACCGGTTAAACTACCTAAGACAGGGGTCGGCAACCTATTGAAACGGAAGAGCCAAAAATTACAATTTACACAATTTCCCAGTTCTTAAAGAGCCACAAATAATTTTTGATTCAATATTATAGTTTTTGGCTATATACAGGGTCCTGCAACAGTCCGTCGGTTTTTCCTACATACCTGATAGATACCTGGTAAAAATATTGGTGGTTGCGGATCTACAGAAATTATTTTTGAATGTACAGGGTGTTCCATTTTTACGATGTCAATTAATAACTGATCTTTTTAAATAGAACATCGTGAATATTTGGTTGTTTCAATGCCGTTTGTTCAAAGTGCTATAACTATTCTTTTTCAAATGGAACTACCACTATTTTATTTCGCTATTCGCTTTTGTCTTCTCTTAAATGTTTATAAGGGGTGCCCTGTGCTTAAACTCCGCAGTGTTTAGGTTATTCAATATTTTTCACAAAAGTACCTACTCATTAATTAATTACGTGTTTATACATCGGAGTAGGCTGGCTATAATAAAAAAAAACAAAAGAATACCAGAAAGTAAACAAGTGTCAAAAATTAGATAATTATTTGCTGCAAGTATACTTTTGATACAAAATAAGATTAATTAAAAAGGCGAATTTCGAACAAATGAACTAATTTCTTTAGATAAATACGGAGAGCCGCAACTTTATAGGTATCAAAAGAGCCGCAGGTTGCCGACCCCTGATCTAGGATCACACGTCACACCTGGCAATTTTGATACAAAATAAAAAGGTCGTTAACCTCTTTTCTTTTAAATTCTGACGTTTGAAATTTGTTCTCAATGGTTAATCGATAACTTATCGATAATTATCGATTAATAGATAGTCAATCGATAAATTAAAAAAAAATGGTCGACCGGTCAACAAAAAAAGAATTTTTTGCGCATGGGATTTACACAATATATATTCTGACTATAATAAGCAAAAATAAATAAAAAGTGCGATTAAGACATCGAAAATATTTGCTTTTACAAAAGTTACAGCGATTTGATTGAAAGCTTTCAGGGGCGAAAATTAAAGCTGGAATCTTTGTTTTCCCTAAAAAAAAAGAAAAATGGAGGGTGATATTTTTCCGCGGTTACTTAGCAAAGAGGAAAAAAAATCCTGGAACAGTTTTAAGGCAATAGTCCATGGTTTCCCGTTCAGTGTTTCCTGGGAAACCATAGAGCTGAAAATTATGACGAGCTGACAGGATTTGGTTTTGTATCATGGGGTATAGAATGTCTCTAAAGAATAAAGATGCACAGGTTACATTCTCATTTAGATCAATTTAAGGATAATATGGGAGCTTATTTGGAATAAGGACAACACTTTCTCGAGACAATGGAACTTAAGGCACCTTCCCAAGGCCAGGAAGTTGGAAGCATGATGGAAGATCAGATTCAGTTGAACATGACAAAAACAGCAAAACTGTTCCATTTTTAAACATTTAGACTCTAAGATAAACAAATTATAAATGTAGAAACGTTACCATTTAATAAATCATGCCTATGTAAGTAGGATTCTATAGGTATTTTTATTTTTTGGTTTTTTGCATTTTTTTCACACAAAAACAAATACATAACCATTTTTTGTTCTAATTCTTATTTGTGGCTATAGAAGCAATAAAAATAAGGTATATATGTCCCATGCGCAAAAATGCTGTAGATCGGTGTAATTTATCGAAAATGTTAAAGGATTGGTCGATAAACCTATAATTTCCGATAATCTATCGATTAATCTCACAACTAAACTATTAAGATAGATAATTATCGAGAGAATTTTTAACGACATAAACTTTTCAATGTTTAGGTATACCAGTTTACTTCCAACAAAAGCGATGTAAGAGCATTGTTGAGTTGCCATATGATCACAATTCACAACCTACTGCTGTACTCATTTTTGAGGATTATCGTCCACTTGATCACCTTTGATTTCAGACAACTTGAGCATCAAAAGATCCTGTTTTATTTAAATTATCTCTCGCAATATCAATACCAAAAAAACAAAAATGTTAGCGAGTGTACGCATGGATGATGTAATATATCGATTGAGAATATATATCGATGAGATTTATCAAAAGTATCGATAGTTTTCTCTTGATAATTTCCGCTACTTATTTATTAATCGATAAATATCAGAGATAGACAATTTTCGTGGCAATAATAATCGATTATTATCAGCAGCTAACAATCATTATTAATTATTTTCAAAAGTTATCGATAATTATAAAAAGTTATCGATAATTATCAAACGTTATCGATCATTATCGAAAATTAGCCTTACGATTTATCGATAATTGTCGATTATTATCGAAAGTTAACGATAAGTGATTAAAGTTATCGATAATTATCGATAGTTATCAATTAATGATTAATCGATAATTATCAGACTGAACAGACTTATCGATAAATCGATAACAATTTCATTTATCGCTCAGCTCTAGTAGGTATACGAATTCACGTAAACTGGGACCGATTTATTTGTGCACAATGCTGCATGGTTATAAAAAAAGCTGATTCGCGAAATTTAGTTATCAAATGTGAATGTGGAAATGATGTAGCTGCCTGCTTGCAACGGACAATATTTTGCCTTAAAATTTTTTTTGATCGTTTTTTAATAACAAAATCTCCCGCTTTCAGTAAAAATGTGGAACCTGCCTATTTTACTGCCTGTGAATAGAATGTATGAAATTGCATTCCTTCAAGGACAAGGACTGCAAGCTTCGTTCGTCTAAATGTATTATTATTTACATTACAAATTTACGCAATGCTTCTTAAGGGATCTATTTTTAGAACATTCCAATCCTATTTATAAAACCATTCCAATGATAACACAAAAAACATCCGGAGTTCCTGACATCTGACGATTAAAAAGGAAAATATTCGAATGGTCAAAATAAATGGTTTGTAATGCTGCCATCTAATGTCAATGTAACGCTCCACTTTCGATCGCCCACGGACTTTCAAACGATCGAACTGCTCCTAGCGGCGGCCAGTTGGCACATGGTCACAAACTGTTATATGGGATCCGCGCTTCTGATAGTTATAAATTCAATGATATTACTTACATTGGGATAAAAAATGACTCCCACTTTTTTGAGGGAAATTCAGAGGAAGCACCAGGCTAAAAAAAGGCTGAACCGATTAGAACCATATTTGGTACACAACAAGTGTGTCAAAGTAACAAAAAACTGTCAATTTTTGACGTTTTTCCATATTCTGGTTTACCCTTGAGCAAAATTCATATTATTTGACATACTTCGTATATGACTGAAAAAAATTGATATCTTAGGGTTGCATTTTAAATTTCAGATCATGCAGAACTTTTTATGAAGGATAACTTTTTTTCGTACTGCTAATACTAAAAAAGTTGCCGCGAACTGTATAATGTAATTTGAAATATATTTTCAGATGTGGTGGTTAATCCTAGCGAACTGGTCTTGGCAAAGGAAGATGAGGCTGATGGAGAATTTAAACCCAATATTAATAGGCAGGCCGGAACTTTGTCTGAGGTGTACCAAGTCGATGATTTTGTCTCTCCAGGAGTTTTAGAATCCGTTTCTGAACAAGTGGACACAGTTTTAGAAGATAGCAAGGCCGCAGAGTGAGTTATGACAAACTGAGTCCTAGTGTGACATACAAGCTTGTTTTAGTATTACAAGTGATTTTGTTTCAACGCAAATAACGAAAGTTGTGTGTTCCAACCAAGATGATAAAGTTCATACGATACAGTTGTTACTGTATATTGATTGCTTGATTAAATTTATGCGCAAGCAAGCCAAAGAGATAGCAGTTAAAAGTATGAATTTGTGCACTTATTCGAAAGCAGTGCACGAAGATATTTTGAGAAGATACACTATTTCGAAATCTAAATCAAGGTAGGTTTTTGTTCACGCTCGAAATAATAAATGTCGCTTTCTACACTATAGCCAATTTAGGGTCTGCAGGAGGAGCCAGGTGGCTATGTTGTGCACTGGTAGGTGCAATTTATTAGTGGGATCGGATAACATTGAAAACGAGATTGAAAATTATAAAAATATTTCAGTGTTGGCAGTGATTGTGAACTTTTGGATTTGGATACTGTATATGTCAAAAAAAGCCCCAGACCCCAAAAGTTTTGGGCTCCGCAACCCCAGTAATGATGTCATCTACCTAAGTAGGAATCAAGAAACTGATTTTAAGCATTTTTACTAAAAATATGGTCCTTTACGAAGTTAGTCTATCTATGCCTATGCATAGTTTTTTTGATCTTTCGTTTGATGACATCACTAATGGTGGTAAGAGGTTCGGAATTTTGGGGTCTGAGGCGATTTTTGATCTTTGATATATATGCAGAAACTATATTTTTATGCACTACTTACATAGATACGAAAAAATCTACTGTATCCAACATATCTTTTTGAAATAAAACAAAGGGCCCAAAATTAATTTGTCTCAAAATTCACGTTCTTTTCTTTTTTTTTCTCTCAGTTTTATAGTACAATATTGTTTTAGCATGCCAGACAGGTCCGCAGGATCTGCTATTTTTATACAGTTTGTAGCGAGGTTTGTAGTCTATAAAAATGAATATTTGTCTGTATGTCTCCTATGCCTTCCTAAACCGTTCATCTGATTGCAATGAAACTTTGGGGAATGGTTGGACATATGCTCGCGCAGATTTCTGGTTTAGTAAAATACTTGCCGAAATTCCCACGGGAACGGAAACGGGGAAAACGGAATTTTACACCGTACTGTAGAAACTGCGGCAAATAAAGACTTGACATTTAGTACGTAGGTTCCTGTGAAGGGGTAAAGGTGTACTCCGAATGTATTTCCCGAACTTACCACGGGAACGGGAAAAAATGTTATGAAATAACAATAGTTTTAATATTGAGGAGTTTTATGGAATTATAATATGAAGGTACAGTAATTTTAGTTTAGAAAACACAGGTTTTTAATTAATAATGGTGATTCTTTAATTGACTTCAAAAGTGCCCGCTATGCGAAAAATTTAAATCAGCCAATGGGCGTCCAGTTACATTTCGATCAACATATTATAAATTATAACAATTAATTTTCATTGAAATTGAATTGATCGAAAGGTAACTGGATGCACATTGGCTCATTTAAATTTATTCCGTAGCGCGCACTCAGATTTAGGCGCTGTGCGCATCAGCTGACGCTTTATTAGCGTAATCGACGTTGGAAAAAGTTTCACATGGTAATTTTTTCCTCAATTGGTTCAGCTAAAGTGGAACTTACAACCTTAGTGTGGTGTCACACTATGCGTGTTTATCGCTTCCGCTAAAACGAATTCGGTTTGACGGGATGATAATATCACACGTTATTAAATGGTACCAGTCACATATATGCGGTTTCGCCGCACCAGGATGCAACCGCGTCATATGCTGTCAAATCGCATCCATTTTAGCAGGAGCGATAAAAACGCATTGTGTGACACCACACTAAGATGCGGATGCATCCTGTTGGTGCCGCGAAACCGCATATATGTGACTGGTACCATTTAATAACGTGTGACATTTTCATCCCGTCAAACCGCATCCGTTTTAGCGGGAGCGGTAAAACCCACAGTGTGACACCACACTTAGCGGTCATTTTTGGAGATGCATTTTTTTAATATGTTACCCTTTCATTACTGTCGTTCACTGTTCACTTCTCGCGTGAGTTTAAATCAACTGTAGTTGTGATCGATTGCTGAAAGTTCATAAAAAACACGCTAGTGTTTGATCCTCCGCCTTGTATTCAGAGTTGTTACTGCAATTGCATTACTTCCTTATTTCATTTTGAAAAGTGGCTACCCTCATTGACAATAACGAAGTTGTTGCTAAGAGTAAAATCAAGAAGGAACTCACCTCTTTGGTTGCAGTTGGTGCTTCCTAAAGTGGTGTAGTGGGAATTTGCATCGCAGAAAAGAATTGTTTAAATATTCTCTTGGGAAGTCAAGGATAATATTTCTGGTGGAAGTTCGGGGGAATCGAAAGAATCTGTTGTATTCCATCGGATTTGTATAGTTGTACTGCTAGAACAAAAATTCATTAATAATAATAAATTTTTAATTAATTCCATGTACAGTAACAGTGAAAGATACAGTCTCAATCAAATGGGGGCATAGTTGCCCTTTTTTGTGACTAAAAAACGCATTTGAAATTTTGGAAAATACTTTGAAAATAATTGAGATATCAAAAAACTTTCGCTTTCATTTTTCCTAGCTTAAACGGTCGGAAATGGGCGGTTCTCGTTGGCACTTACTACATGCACTTTTTTTAGAAAGTTTGAATCTGTTATCAATTTACAAGAAAGAGTTCAAAATCAAATGTTTTACAGTAGTTTTTCACAAAACATCCACGAGTAACTAGATTTTGCTGAATCAACAAGGCTATAATGGGGATGCATTCAAGTGAATTTCTTTTTTGTCCTCTTATCTCATTCCGTCAAAATTCAACGTGGCGCCCATAAGAAATAAAAAAGTAGTAGCCTCTGTAGTTCCTACATCCAGTGTGTTACAGAAATTTTGATAACAGATTCAGACTCCGAAAAAAGTGCCCATAGAAGGTGCTAACGGGAACCGTCCATTTCCGACCGTTTAAGTTAGGGAAAATGAAATTTGACATTTTTAGTTTTTCGATGATATCTTAGTTATTTTCAAGAATTTCAAATGTGTGTTTTTAGTCATTAAAAGGGGCAACTATGCCTCCATTTAATCTACACTGTATCTCTCACCGTTACAGAGATCACAATGATGAGCCACGAATTTGAACCACCCTGTACAGTTTGAATAAACGATTAAGCGGAGACCTAGGGACTCGGAGGAAGAATTTGCCAAGGTACTACTCACCCTGTACAGTCGATTTTCCATCCAACATCGGCAACCCTGTCAGTGGTGACGCTACTGCTGCTTCAGTCTACTGCATCATAAGGACACACAAGCCCCATTACAGCGACAAGGACAAAGTATATCGGAGGTAACTCACCAAGGTGAAGCAATAAAAAAGAGAAGAGAGAAATAGAGGACCACAAAATAATATTTGACAAAACTCACTGCGTACCACAATACGAGAACAAAACTTAGAAATGTCAAAAAAGAAACAAATCCAAATTGGCATAAGAGAAGAAATCTAGCAAGAAATGCAGAAAAACGACAGACAGACAACATTGTTCTCTATAACATTAAAAAACATGAAAAACAACAAAGAAATACACAAATAAAAACCATGGAAAAAAATATTGAGAAGAGAAAGAAACATTAAATATAAAACTAGAGAGGAAGAAAAACTAGTTAAAATTAAAGAATCAAGACATAAAAACCAATAAGAAACAACAATGTGAATGGAAATGGTGAGAACAGCTAACCTAAAAGTTATTGTCTAATTTTATTAACTTACACTTTTATTAAACTAAGTTCCGAAAAACATTCTTTTGCAATATCTGTCTCTAAAAATTGTGTCGTAATCTGGGTCAATAGTCAAAGTGTAGTAAGCTGTTCCGTTCAAAGTTGTAATGGAATGTACGTCTTCATACAGTGTGATATGTGTGGTGTGGAAACAAAATATATACAGAACAATATCAAGTAACGGAAAACATCGTTAAAGGTCTAAAAGGTCAACAAAGATGTATTTGGTTTTACTTAGCTCCTCAAATCAACCAACAATAAAAAAGTTGCACTTAAATGTGGTCCTAATTATCGGGGAGCAATTAACTATTTCCGTTCGGTAAATAGATTTTAGTTTCTTGGCATAAAGGGTGTCCACAGTACCAAAAGTTCACATTAAATGTTGAGAGCTTTCATATTTTGTATTATTTCACCATTCTTTACATATCACAAAGTTTTAATGGTAACTTGTGACCATTTGTTTTAATGTATTCCCTAAATTTCATAAATAGCATATGATAATTATAATTGGTTTTGTTTACAGATTACGACCTAATTCAATGCGTGATAAATGTCTATGCTCGATACTGATACTTGCTATGATGGTGTGCAGATATGAATTAAACTTGGAAGAAATCGCAAAGGAGCTTAAAATAAGCCTGAAAAGGATACAAGACGTATCTCGAGCTCTCGCGTTTGAAGTAAGCAAAGGGACTGCTATTTTGAAATTACCCTTACCACCACCAGTGAATATGAATAATTCAAAACGGAAAAAGAAATAATTTTCTAACCAGGATTTTTAAGATGTTAAAATAGTAACTATATTTTTATGGCAATAAAATAAACTTAATTTTTCTCGTGAGGTTTGTAATGGGCAATGTTGTGATTTGTAGCTTTTTATTTAAGGTTGGTATTTTTCTAGGATTTGAGAACCAATAGGATACAATTTGCTATATTATAAGCACAGGAGCGTCACGTCATAGAAATGTCACATGATATGACGATAAACATATAGGGAATTTTTCTATAAGGTATACATAGGGGCTATGTATAACTATATCATTGCATGGAATAGATGGGTGTAGGCTAGCAACTCTCCCGATTTTTAATTACTAAACTCTTGAAGGCCGCAAGAATTTTAAAAACAACTCACTTTTCTCACAAGTATTGTTGGTTGCCCATAGCCATCTATTTTTGAAAAGTATACATACCTAAGCCGGTGGTGCAGTGGTTGCGTTGCCGACTGCTATTTGTGGGATTGCCAAATAAGTGGAAGTTCCTCCCATCATTTTGAGGCGAGTTTGATCGCAACCCTTTGATATTGTCTGCATTCTAAAGTATATTTCTGGAATGTGAGCAACTATATTCAGGGGGAGCCTCCACAGCTAAGTGTAAATTTGCCCTCTGGTCACAGAAGTGCGCCCATGGTCAAAGTTAGCATGGTTTTCATTGCTCCAGTGACCCTCAGACAGGCAAAGTCTATTTAGCATGATGTTTCTCAAGTATTTCACTTACCTGGTGAGACTCAGTTGGCATCCTCGAAGAGTGGGCCCATCCAGACCCGCCTTCTTCTTTTCGTCAGTGGAACAACCTATGTCTTGTCTGGGTTAACGGAAACGCCATGGCTATTCTGCACCACCTGTCCAAGAGTCCTATCTATACAGTGAATTTTCCAGTTATGACAATCTATCCGCGTATGCCTGTGCACGCTCCATATTCATTAAGAGTGTGGAGAAGACCGTAGAGCACTAGCCGCCACACCAGTGGAGACAACACTCCACTCTGCGAACATCATCGGGTGACTGAGGAGCTGATCTCTGTTGCCCTGATTGAGGATGTAATGACTCATCAATACCAAAGCCTCGCCAATGGAATCAAATGTTGTTGAATGCAGCTTCAATATCTAGAAATGCTCCCAGGGCTACCCCCTCCAACCTGCACACGAGGCTGTGAAGAGCCCTGCAAGCATGCTGGAATGGGTGTAGTGGTTTAAGGACTAGTATCTCATTCCTTATGTATACATCCACCAGCTTCTTTACTATTTGTAGAAGAAACGATGATAGGCTTATGGGCCTGTGATTATTTTTGGCACAACCGGGCTTAAATAGGTATATAACTTTTAAACCTCTCGCCAGGAAAGATTGCCGGTCACAGAAGACCTGATCCTGGTCTACAATCTGCGTTTTTCTAAAGATGTGAGCAACTTCCGGGATAGGATCGTGCCAATGTTGACTGAAAAGTCTTTTCGTTCAACATTGGCACGATCCTATTCCGGAAGTCGCTCGCATCTTAAAAAAACATAGATTGTAAATTGACACAAGGTGTGCTGTGACCAGTGACCAGCAATCTTTCTCGGCGAGTTATACTTTTACCTTTCTCCAGCTTTCAGGAGTATAGCCCAAAGCCAAGGAGGCTCTAAAGAGCTACAACGAATGCAAGAGCAGCAGTTCCAGACCCTTCCGCAGAAGAGCTGGGATTATCCCGTCTGCTCCCGCACACTTAAATGGGCTGAACGTGCAAGATATAACAAAACACATTTTTATTATTAATTTTTATTTAAATTTTTTTAATTTAAAAAAGATTCTTTGTCCAATTCCATGGCGGCTGGATTCTTTGAATGGCGACTCTGGTTGTTCCCTGAAACAGTAATCAGCATACATACTCAATTCATCTATCGACATAAATGCAAGTCCTAGGGTACAGTGGACTGTCTCTTATAATAAAAGGTTCTTGTATCAGGTATGCGCCTGTCTGCTTTACTGCAAGTTGACTGCCTATTAAACAGGTCGCTCTTCTACTGTGATGCAAATTGCTCTGCAACAAGGTTACCTTTACCTCGTCTATCAAATAATGTAGTATATAGGTTCTCCCTTTCCCTGGTAGTGGCAACGGTTCTGACCCCTTGTTAGGAGCCAAGAACCGCTACACGACCGAAACCAGAAGCTCCTCGACATCTTGACTAATCTTTAGTAAGCTTTATCCCCCGTCAAGGTCAATAGCACAGATTGCTAACATTTTGCATTTCGTGGGTACACCGCCATATAGCGATGGACTGCAAGCGGGATTGAGAAGGGAAAACTAAGATGCAAACTCCCATTACCATTACGCATCTGGCATCTTATTGCTTCATTCAATTTAATTTAATTGGGACCAAGAGAAACGAGTTTTCCCTTCTCTCTCATGTCATGTATCCGCGCTTAGCATTCATAGATATATAAATACATCAGCATTGGCACGCGCAGGCCATCTATATGTCGAGAATAAAATACCGTTTAGGTAAATTTAAGAGCGCCCTCTATTGGGCAGCAGAATAAACATGTTCAGTACAAATACGCTGATGGATTTATATATTAGATGTCGCTGCAAAAAAGAGGCCGATTCTCACAAGTGCTGCCTGCAACTCCGCGACGCGTTGCCGCACGCAAAATGTAACTGTGGTGTGCATTCCCACTATGATGACAAAGAGCAACACCTTCACACACTTAGTTCTGTTTTTGTTTGAGTAATGTCCGGTTACGGTCGCAACATACACAAAAACCGCTCACGAAATGGACCGAAATGTAGTCACCGATACTGTATGTGTGTGTAAACGGCTCCTCACGCTTTACATTTTTTGCAGCGGCCTTTTACGAATAAATCCATAAGCATAATTTTATTGAACATGTTTATATTGGTGCTTTTAAGTATACTATCAAATTATCTTTGATACTACCTAAATAATAAATATTAGTCTCGCCAGGAAAGAATGCCAGTCACAGAACACTTGATACCGGTCTACCATCGTATGTTTTTCATAGTAAACCCCTCGACATATAATAAATGGACTGCGTGTGCCAATGCTAAGCACGGATACTGCAGGTGAGAGAGAAGGGAAAACTAAGAGGGCAAGCTGTCTCTTACAATTACGCATCTCATTGGTTCTCTCAACAGATTCAGCTTGCCCTCTTAGTTTTCCCTTCTCTCTCACCTGCAGTATCCGCGGTTATCATTGACACGCGCAGTCCATTTATTATATGTCGATGAGTAAACCATACGATTATAGACGCATCAGGTGTAATGTGACCGGCATTCTTTCCTGGCGAGACTTATAATAATAATAAACAGTAGGAGCCCAGTCATCATGTTGCATCGAAAATTCATATTACAAGTAGGCAACACACAAAACGCAATTTCCATGTGTTGCATACGCTACAATACAATATTATATATACTCGATGCAACATGGCCGCCGATCTCACCAAGTAACAACCAATCAAAAATTACAGACTATTGTCGCCACTTTCTCTATAAAGTCACTGTATACCTAAATTACCTAAATACAGTGACTTTTATACGAGACAGTGGCGACAGTAGGAGCTGAAAGCTCTACCGAGCCGTCATCTTGCATCAGAAATTCAAATTGGAAGTAGGCAACACACAATACACGTATGACGTATATTACAGGCATGTAGCAGAAACTTGCAACATGGCTGCCAAACTCGACAACCAATCAAAAACCAGGTGCCAACATATGTACGCACTTACAGACGGGAAAAATTTATTCTTTAAAAGTTGCTTAAAATGATCTAAAACGTCAACATTTGATGAAACACAATTTTTTGACTTTGACAATTTTTTTCTCCGTTTTTTAATAATATAACCCGGCCCAATTTTTTGTAGGTTGTACACAGGAAAATAAGGTCTTCCAAATAATAAAATAAAAATTTTAGGTTGCTATTTGAAAAAAAAAAGTTCGATGCCGTTACGGCGCTCCAAAATTTTTTTTCAAAAATCCGGCCCGTTATTTTTCTGTTCGGTATGCCTAAAACATATATACAAAATTTCAACAAAATCCGTCGAGCCGTTTTCTCAGAAAATTGCCAACAAACGTACGTACGTACGTACATACATACAGACGGAAAAAAATTTTTAGCATCCTAGCATGTGCTACGTAGCTATTGCGATAGCCGTTTTTTGAACATTTCAAAATTTCATCAAATGTCGACGTTTTAGACCATTTTAAGCAACTTTGAAAGAATAAAATTTTTTTCCGTCTGTATGTACGTACGTACGTACGTTTGTTGGCAATTTTCTGAGAAAACGGCTCGACGGATTTTGTTGAAATTTTGTTTTAGGCATACCGAACAGAAAAATAACGGGCCGGATTTTTGAAAAGAAATTTTGGAGCGCCGTAACGGCATCGAACTTTTTTTTTCAAATAGCAACCTAAAATTTTTATTCTATTATTTGGAAGACTTTATTTTCCTGTGTACAAAAAATTGGGCCGGGTTATATTATCAAAAAACGGAGAAAAAAATTGTCAAAGTCAAAAAATTGTGTTGCAACTTGCATATGTGCAAAACGCAACGATCTTGTTTCTGAAGCAATTTAAACGAAATTTCTATGGTAAGTCCCTTTAATAAAAGCAAACAAAATTCATGCGCAAAAATCGTGTTGCGCATGCGCAGAAATGCAATTTTCTTATTTGTGGAACATTAGCTTCCTAGCCTGTGCTAGGTAGCTATTGCGATAGCCGTTTTTTGAACATTTCAAAATTTCATCAAATGTCGACGTTTTAGACCATTTTAAGTAACTTTTAAAGAATAAATTTTTCCCGTCTGTAAGTGCGTACATATGTTGGCAATTTTTGGTTTCAGCTAGGAAGCTATTCTGTCAAGAATTTGACACCCGGTATTCTTTAAAAGTTGCTTAAATGGTCTAAAACGTCGACATTTGATGAAATTTTGAAATGTTCAAAAAACGGCTATCGCAATAGCTACCTAGCACATGCTAGGAAGCTAATTAGACACTTTATTGTCGCTACTGTCTCGTATAAGGTCACTGTATACATAAGTACGTATAGTATATTGGTGTTACCTATGA